CATCTCTATGTCTCCTTGAGCCCTAGCACAAGGCTTTACCTATAGGAGGCACTCACTAGATGTTGTTTATTCTTGTGAGTAGTTTTCTACTGGGGAGGGGGAAAAGGAGAAGAGAATAATGAGAGGAGTGGACCTAAAGAGAAGACCAGGATAGCATCACTAAGGGAAAATGCCTAAATCCATTGAGTAGAGAGCCTTCCTCTGGGCCGGGAACACCTGAATTCAAGTCCCACCTCTGACGTGTGCCGCCTGTGGGACCCAGGGCAAGTTGGCTGCCTTCCAGTGACCCTCCCAGTATCTCTTGAAGACTACATGTTGCAGAGAATGTGCTAAACTATATTGCTAGAGTACTTTCCTCCCTGGGAGCTCCTTCCATTGATGAAATCATGGGTCTAGTGTTTAAAAAAAAAAGAAAAGATGCAGGACACCATTCTGCCTACTTTGCAATTTTGCCCAAGGTACATGTTCCCAGGAGAATCTGCTCTTTTGGAGAACCCTACTCTGTGCACCCCTTCCAGGATGTGATGCAATGAAAAAGCATTTGGGAAGAGGTTAGGGTGTGCTAAGCACTGAGAATACATTCAGAAAGTTGAGAGAATGCTTGCTCTTGATTCAAATTAGGGGAGAGAGCACATCCAGAAGGGTTTATGTTAGTTCACAGCAGATGGAAACTGTTGATTGTTCTTAGGTGGGGAAAGTAGCAGGGAAAATGGTGAGGCCCAGAGGATCATGGGAAGTCAGGACAGGGGGGATGGTTGGTCTGCCACTAAGAGGGCTACAAAGAAAAGTATAGAGGGGGCTGAGTCCCTGCACACTCACCTCACAGTCTGACTTTGCTTCCAGGGGATCACAGCTTTAGAGACAGAAGGGACTTCAGAGATCCATCCATCTCCTTTTACAAACAAAGAAACTGAGGCCTGGAGAGGCGATTTGTTCGAGGTCACATAGATAAGTGACAGAATGGGGGTTGTAATTCCAAATTCAGCCTGCTTTTCTCTCCTCAAGCAGTTACTTTCTGGGTGGCTTTCAAAAAGTGACTTTGCCTCTCGGGTCCACTATTTCTCCACTTCTTCCTCTGTCCCCTTCTCCCCTACATTCCAGGGGATGTGGAGAGAATGAAGAGGGAAAAGCCTGTTCTAATGTGACTGGGCAGCCTCTGTAGAGGGCCATGGAAGTCTGTGAAAAGTCTTGCATCACTAGGGCAATCACTGGAGATGGTGAGGCTTCCCAGGGGACACCTGAGCATAGGATTAGTCAGGATCAGAGAGTTGGAGCTGGCGGAGACCTACCTGACTGGTCATCTAGTCCATCCCCTCATTTTTTTAGAAGAGGAAACAAAAACTCAGGGAGAAGAAGTAGCTTTCACAAGGTCACAGAAGCAGTAAGTAGAAGAGCCAGGATTCAAACCCAGGTCTTTTGGTTCCAAATCTTGAGCCTGTTTTACCACTGCAGGCCAAATTTCCTAAGGAGGGAGGAAAGCACAGGATAGAAAGATCTAGACAGGGAGCAGTGTGACCTTGGTCATGTTCTGCCAGCTGGCTCATCCATCTTGATCAATGGAGATCGATGGCTAGGGCAGGCCAGGCTGGGAGATGGAGATAAGTGGAGCTGGCTGTCTCTTCTTTCTGCACAATCTGCTGGAGGAGTCCCAGGGCCAATCATCCTGTCTCTTTTCTGGCTCTCTTCACAGGGGCTGTGATTGTTCCCATCCTTGAAGATCTCTTTAGGAACAGGAGAGTCGCTGGTATAGCCGACAAGCTCAGTGGCCCTGGAGTCAAAGCCTGGCCACAAATCTCACCCCTGCCACTTGTTATCTGGGTGACCATGAGCAAGTCACAGTCTTCATGAACCTGTTTCCTCTTTTGTAAACTGAGGAGGTCAGACGATGGTTTCTGAGGTCCCTCCAAGCTCTAGGTCTGTAATCAGTCAGTCAACAAGCTTTATTTAAGGCTGTGTGTGAGGCATTGTGCCTAAGCACTATGGACATGGAACGGCAAAAACAGCCCTTGACCTCAAGTAGCTCACATTCGAATGAGGGCAACAGATAATATGTAATAGGCAACGTATAATAAACTGCATGTAATAGACAGCACATATTAGATAACATGTAATAGACAGCATGGATCTTCCTTGAAAACCTGGGTCCTCCCAACTCCAACGCCAGTACTGTGGCACCCTTCTTCCCATCCTCCAGCCTCATTACTGAGCCTCATCTCTCTACTACTAGGACCGGGGTGGTTTTTTTTAAAACCAAGCATTTCAAAGCCTGTATCCATATTGACTACACTGTCAGCATGACTGAGCATGATGCTTGACTCTCTGCCTCTCTGCTCCCTACATAGAGAAGCTCTCTGGGGTAACTAGAGGGTAGAATGTTGCACTGAGTCAGGAAGACCTTACTAGCTGCATGATCCTGGGTAAGTCACTTAACTTGGTCAAGCCTTAGTTTCCTGATCTATAATATGGGAATAATAATAGCACCTACATTCCAGTATTACTGTGAGAACTTAAATGAGCAACATATCAGTGTTAGATAATAATTATAATAATAATAATTAATAATAAATCTGGAATCTCCAGCCATCTGCAACCTTGGTTGTTTCATGGAAGTCCAAAGGTTCCCTGGACATAAATCTGTCTTACTAGCAGATAAACAAGACCTCCTCTCTCATTTTCCCAGTGACAAGAAGAGAAAGATGCCCTGGGGTGTCCTCCTGTTCCCACAAGTCCCCTGGAACCTGGGAATGCCCATTCTTGAAAAGAAATGTGCCCAGGAAATCTTTCAGTAACCTCCATATGACAATGCAATCTTATTCATTAAGCCTTTGAAAGCCTCTCTGCTCAGCCCTTCTTAAGACTCAAGAAAATTCCTCTGAGGAAAGGAGCCGAGAAAATTACAAATGAGTTCCCCTGACTAATCAACCCTGCTTATCCTAACCAAACAACAAGCCATTCTGAGGGCCTGGGCCAGCTGTGCAGAGCTAGAAACAATGCCATTGGTCCTTTAAGTTCTATATTGGTATGAGCTGCTATCATTCAATTCATCTGACAAGTATAACTCACCCATCATGTGCCAAGCAACATACTAGGCACTGGAGACACAAAAATGAAAACAAGACAGTTTCTGCCCTCAAGGAGTGTACATTCTTAAGGAGTTGGGGTGGAGATGGGAAGGCAGGGTAATAGGATTTGAACACAGGTAAGTATAATACAAGGTATGTAGTGGTGGGACAAGTCACAGCTTCCTGATCCATCAAATAAGAGGATCCCTTCCTTAGAAGGGACCCCAAGCCTATTATCCTATGAGAAATTCAGACAAAGTGTTTTGGGAATATTTGGGGAGAAAAAAAAAACCTGTCTGCTAGAGGACTTGGGACAAGTTTCTTGAAATTTAACCTTACCAGGACCCTAGAATCCTAATTCTCGAGCTGTAAGGTGCCTTTGAAGACATTGAGCTCGATCACTTTTTACAAATGAGAAAGAGGTTAAAAGATTTGCCCATGGTCTCAGGGTAGGGTCAGAGGATAATAGATTCAGATGTGAAAGGAATGTTAGAGGTCAACCCGTCCAACCTTCTCATTTTACAGATAGGGAAAGTGAAGCAGAGATGGTATAGTTTGCCTACAGTTGTGGAGGAGAAGGATGTCAAGAGGCAGAGATGAGGAAGAAGCCCATTCCAGTAATGGGGAACAGTCTGTGCGGGTTCCCAGGAAGGTGAACGGCGAAAGGAGGAGGTTGAGAAGTGCTCCATTGTGGCTAGAACTTAGAACGTGGGAAGGGAAAGAGAGCAGTGTGAAGTAAGGCAGGAAAAGTAGAGTGGAGTCAGGTTGTGGAAGGCATTGAATATGACAAGCTGAGGAGTTTGTATTTTCTCATAGAGGCAACAGGAAGCTATTGAAGGGTTTGGAGCAGGGGAGTGACACAGTCAATCCCTGCACATTACTGTTCCCCATAGAATAATCACAGAATCTCCTTTTCACATGCTACTCATCTCTCAAGTTCATTCAACACCCTCATTGGTTTTTTTGTTTGTCTGTTTGCTTGTTTTAGGCAATCGGGGTTAAGTGACTTGCTCAGGGTCACACAGCTAGTAAGTGTGAAGTGTTTGTTCTGAGGCTGGATTTGAACTCAAGTCCTCCTGACTTCAGGGCTGGGGCTCTATCCACTGTGCCACCTAGCTGCCCCCAACACCCTCATTGTTTATTGTTGTTGTTCACTTGTGTCCAATTCTTCGTGACCCCATCTGGGGGTTTCTTGGCAGAGATACTGAAGCGGTTGGCCATTTCCTTCTCCAGCTCATTTGACAGATGAGGAAACTGAGGCAAACAGGGTGAAGTGACTTGCTCAGGATCATACAGCTAATAGGTGTCTGAGGCTGGATTTGAACTTGGGAAAACGAGTCTTCCTGACTCCAGGGCTGGTGCTCTATCCATTCTGCCACTTAGCTGCCCTAACACTGATTCCATGAACCTGAATCAATAGGTGTTTGGAAGTGCCCTGGGTCTAGAGGAAAGGACCTGGCTCTCTTTGTGCTTCATAGTATCATGAATGAAAAGAGCCTAGACTGGGAGTCAGGAGACGTAGGTCCAAATCTCAGCTCTGCCCCTTGGTAAACTATGTGTGTATGTGTGTGTGTGTGTGTGTGTGTGTATCATACGTTTGTATGCATGTGTGTATATATGCGTGTATATGTATGTGTGTATATATGTGTATGGGGTGTGTGTATGTGTGTGTGTGTGTGTGTATCATACGTTTGTATGCGTGTGTGTATATATGCATGTGTGTGTGTGTATATATGCGTGTATATGTATGTGTGTATGTATGTGTATGGGGTGTGTGTGTGTGTGTGTGTGTGTGTGTGTGTGACCTTAAGCTTCAGTTCCCTCCACCTGGAAAGATGGCCTCTCCCGGCTCTGACATTACAAACGCTAACCCTTCACAGTCAACGAGTCTTCTTTGCATAAACATCTCTTTAACCAATTGCTTTGGTCTGTCCCCAGAGCTGATGAAGTTGGCCTGCCTGAGGAAAGAATCTCCTGTTTTGATTCACTCTTTATCCATCTAAGGCAGCAAAGGAAGAGCCTTATAATGCTCCGTTCGGGTATTTGCCAGACACCTTAGACAGACACGTGTTCATTCCTGACTGGGCTGATGTCGCCGCCTTCCAGCCTCAGAACGGGGAGGGAGCTGATGTGCAGATCAGGTGCGTCTGAATAAGACAGGAACCGTGCCGGGCTCAGCCTCTGACAATTTACCTGGAACCCTTAGACCTCTCCCTTCTCCCTCCCTGTTCCACGCTCCACCTGTCTGTCTCCTGCATCCACTCTCCTACTTCCTCTTATTAGATTCACAGATTTAGAGCCGGGAGGGACCTGGGGGCCCCTTATTCTACAGATAAGGAAACTTCTGCCCAGAGAGGTAGTGTCATTTGTCCAAGGTCACATGGCTGTCAAGTATCAAGGCAAAATTTGAACCCAGATCTTTGGACTGCAGATCCGGCCTTCTTTCTATTACCTTGTCTTGGTTGCCAGCCCCTAGGTTTACTATGAACACTGGATCTTTAGCCTCAAGAATGGCCAGTAGAGTGGAGACCCCAAACTCTTACGAGGCTGCTTCTAGTCCTCTCCCTTCCCCTCCCCCACTACCCACACACAGAGCCCCCACTGGGGTCTTCTGACTTGGGCCTCCTACTTCCCTTAATGAGGTCCCCACTTCTTAACCCCTTTCCTCAGTTAAGACTCACTGTCGCCGTGCTTCCCTCCTCCTTCCGTGACTTCCTCTCGTTCCATCCTTTCTTCCCCTCCATTTTAGGTTTTTTTTCTGCCTTCCTAGGTGATGAATCTGAAACCCTCTTTGTACTAAGGAATTGTCTAAAAGGAGGCAGCTCCAGGACAGCCATCCCAGATCTCCAATGAGAAGGGAGCTTAGAGGTCATCTCATCCAACCTTCCATTTAAAAATGAAGAAACTGAGGCCCACACACCCACATTCATGCCCAAGCTCTTCCAGAGACAATAAATCCTAAGATGGAGGGCTTGCTGTCAATAATAATTCACATTTATATTGTAGATCAGAGCTTGCAAAGTACTTTACACACATGACTTCACTGGAGCCTCCTACCAGCCCCATGCTGGTATCCCTACGGGCATCACCCATCAAGAAACCAAGACTTCAAGTCACGTGACTCACTTATGCTCTCAAAGGCAGGATTTGAACCCAGTTCTTCCTGACTCCAAGATGAGCACTTTGCCAAGTTGCCTCTTTATAGGGAGACCAAGGACTGGAACCTAACACCTTTCTGATGAATTCTGTTTCCTCGTGCAAATAAACTTAAGCAATAAAAATGAATGAACCAGGTCAGAGGACAGAGGAGCTTGGTGTAAATGCTCCCTGGTACTAATCAGTTATGTATATATCTCTTATTTTAAATATGATACATATACATAAGACAAATAAAGTGTAGACACATATGTACACATATGTGTCACACATATGTATAACGGACAGAGAGAAAGAGAACACGCGAGAGAGAGAGAGAGAGAGAGAGAGAGAGAGAGAGAGAGAGAGAGAGAGTGAGAGAAATTTCACTAGACCTGGGAGATACAGTTTGCCAGACCTGTGATTTTATTAGTCTAAGGAAGTCCCAGTAAGGAAATTCCCACTATCAATGCAGGTCAGTCTCTTCACCAACAATTTATAGCCTTAGGGAGTTGTGTGAATCTGAGCAGTTAAGTTGCTGAAGCTCACAATCAATATGTATTGCAGGTATGGCTTGAACCCAGGTTCTTTTGAGGCCAGTCCCATATCCCTCAAGCCTCTAAGGTCAGCCCTGACCCATTAAACTACACTATCCCTCATCTAGAATCATCATCATCATTGTCATTATCAAATATAAAACTTTAAAGTTTGCAAAGCAAACTTTTCAAATTTTATCTCATTTTTATGCTTATAAAAGCCCTGTGAGATAGTTGCTATTTACAGATGAGGCAGGTAGCTTAAGTGACTTGTCCAAGGTCACACAGCCAGTTAGTGTCCAAAGTGGGACCAGAACTGAGGACTCCTGACTCTTATCTAGTTCTCTGCTGTCTTCCCCATATACTCTGCCTCTTAAGAATAGGACTGGGAGGCAGCTAGATGATTCAGTGGATACAGCACTGGCACTAGAGTCAGGAGACATGTGACCTCAGATAATACTTACTAGCTATGTACACTGGGCAAGTCAACTCTGAATGCCTCCAAAGTGGGAGAAAAGGATTGTCTTTCAGGTCAGAAGACCCAGATTTAAATCTTGCCTGTCACCTTGTTACTTTGGACAGGTCATTTAACTCTTCCAGGCCTCTTGGGTCAAATGACAGGCTTGGACTAAATGATCCTTGAGGTCCCTTTCAGTTCCTGTGAAAACCCCTGGCCTCTCCCTTCAACTACTATAATAACCTCCTCATTGGTTTCCCTGCTTTACAACCTTCCCAACTCAAGTCAAATCCTCTGTACAGAAACCAAGATGGTCTTCCTAAGGCTGAGGTCTGACCATGGCACTCTGCTACTGAAAGTCTTCAATAGCCATCCATTGCTCTAGAAGATGCAAACTCCTTGACCATTCGGCTAATGCTTGGTGCAATCTGGCTTCCCCCTCCCTGAGTTCATGTCACTTTGTCAAGAACTCCACATTTGGGCCAGCCAAAGCTGTTTCTCCCCAGACATGAAAGCTTCTTCTGCCTTTATGTACCATGTTCTCCATTCCTAAGAGAGCATAAGGTCTTTGAGGTTTATTTGTATCTGTGCAGCTTCAGTGCCCAGAATCTCTATGTTGCTCAGTCGTTTCAGTCATGTCTAACTCTTTGCGACCCCATTTGGGGTTTTCTTGACAAAGATATTGGAGGTGTTTGCCATTCATTGCCTTCTCCAGCTCATTTGACAGATGAGGAAACTGAGGCAAACAGGGTGAAGTGACTTGCCCAGGGTTACATAGCTATTAAGTGTCCAAGGCCAGATTTGAACTTAGAAAGAAGAGTCTTTCTGACTCTAGTCCCAGCACTCTATCCACTGAGCCTCCCAGCTGCTGACCCTGGCACATAGTAGGTGCTTAATAAATGCCTATTGATTGAGTGATAGAAATTTCAGCTGGCTTCCAGCTGAGAGGTCAGTAGCATCTCTATGCCCATGAATTTTGGGGTCCTGTATGGGTGGGTGGGTAAGAACACACGTAAACAGAAACTCCTGAGATTGTTGAAAGCATTGGCCTGCCAGGTTCAGTAGTTATCAGGGAAAATCCTTGCATGCATGACATGCCTTGTTCATTGTGGTGATTGAGGGGAAGGGGTGAGACAATGAGAAGGACATTGGTTCTGGAGTCTGAGGACCTGGGTTGCAATCTCACTTCTGATTTTCACTTCCTGCGTGTCATTGGGCAAGCCCCTTCCCCTCTCTGGTCCTCCCTGCTCCTTTCTAACATGGGGGGGTTGGACTAGCTGGCTTCTGAGACCCCTTTGGGGGGGAGGAATTTGGGGTCCTGGGACTTGCCTGCCCATCCTGCCTCCAATGCAGGCAAGGGTTTCCCATCTCACTGTGTCAGCACCAGCATTCCCGTTCCATGACCATGAGGGATTTGAACTCTCGAAGAAGCAAGCATTAGAGTTCTTGGCTGACTCGGCAAAATAGCCTTGGAATACACAGCTCTGTTCCCGCCTCCTGCCTCCTTCCTCCTTCCTCCCTCACTCCAGGAAGCCCACAAGACCTGATTCTCATTCCCTGCCCCAGAGCCCAACCCAACTGTTTTCAGTATGTGAAGGTTAAGATGCTTCTGTCTCCTCTAAGTCGTACCAGATTCTGTATGTCACAGGTCTGGGTACATTCACAGCATCAAAAGCATTGTTCCCATCTACCCTTTCCCATTCTCATTAGTCGTTCATTCCACCTGTAAGATGGAAAGGTACTGAGGAATTCTTCTCATTGTGTTCCAGATGGAAAAGGGAGGCCTAGAGAGGTACAGTAACTTCCCCGAGGCCATGCAGCAGGAGCTACACTCCATCTGGATTTCTTTTCACCCAATACTTTGAGCTATTCAGAGTAAACGATTGATTTCCTGGCTCCGGGAAGGGTCTTTTTTTTCCTGGGCAGCAGTGCCACCCTTCCTCTCCCCCAATTTCTGGTAGGTGTCTGACATTCTTTGGGTTGTATGTTCTCTAAGAGTGAAGTCATTTCTGCATCAGGAGAGCGCTTCTGGTGCTGTTCTCCCCTCCGTTCACCTTCCCTTCCTCCCATGCCCCAGGAGGTGAGTCACTTGGCTCAGCACCTTGGTGGTCCCCAGGAAGAAATGGAGACCACAAGGGGCTTACTTTCTGCTCATTTACTCAGACTCACAGGCTTGGATCCACAGCTGAGTCAGGGATCCTGGATAGTGGATAGGAAGGCAGGCAGGGCTCCAAGTCTGCAGACAGTCCTGCTGAAGCAGGGATGGGGCCTTGTCCCCACGGGAACACAGGGAGCATCTCTGATGACTTCTTCCCTCCAACCCTGCCTGAGGCACAGGAGAGGATGCTTATGGGCCAATTAAAGAACCTTCCAACCACTGGAGGAAGCCAGGAACTGAGTGGATGGGGAAGGGAGAGATTTATGACTGCAAAGTAACAGCAGGACACTAATGCACCCCAGACATCAATAAGAGAGAATGCATTAAAGGTCATTTAGAAGATAGGACCAAGGAAAGTGAGAGCTCTCCAAGGTGTCCAGCTGCATAAGCCAGTGCCAAATGAGGGTTTACCTCTCAGGACATCTGCCAAATCTCCTGGGTATCTGCCAAAAGAGCCAGTCTGGGCAAGGGGACATCAAGATTCTGAAGGTCATAGGCCACGGGAGCAAAGAAAGCTGTTTGAGGCAGGTGGGGAAGAAGGTTAGGTAGAGGCTTCAAGGAGAAGGAGGAGCAAGAGCTGGGAGACCATGAATCACAGCACTGGGGAAGGACAACATGTAGTCCCACTGCCCCCTGACTTTATTGAGAGATGAAAAAAACCGAGGCTCAGAGACACGAAGGGACTTACCCAAGGTCATACATACTGAGTGCAGGGATAGCAGAAAAAACAGTAGCTTTGGAGACATTGGACCTAGGTTCAAATCTTGCTGCTGAAGCCTATCATAGCTGTGGGACTTTGTGTAAGACACTTAAGTAATAAAAATGAATGAGCCATCCTGCTGCTTCTCCGATGGATCCTAAACCGTTCTTCTCCCCTTTTAATGGAGTGATTTAGCTTCCATGGGCCTCAGTTTCCTCATCTGTAACATGATGGGTTGGACTCTATGGCCTCTGAGGTCCTTTCCAGCTCTGGATTTAGGGTCGTACAAGTTCAGCCTCTTGATCCATATTCCCCAATTGAGAGGCTAATGATAGTTGATATTTATATAACCCTTCAAGGTTAACAAAGTGCTACAAGCATAACTTGAGCCTTAATACTCCTGTGACAGGTAAGCATTATCGTGTCCACTTTTGTTGCTGTTCAGTTGTTTCCATCATGTCTGCCTTGGTGATTCCATTTGGGTTTTTCTTGGCAAAAATACTGGAGTATCTCCGTACTTTGTACTGCATAGTATTATTATGCTACATAGTATCTTTATACCTTATGCTACACAGTGTCTTTATACTTTATGCTACATAGTATCTTTATACTTTTAGTTCATCATAGTGTTATACTTTATGCTACATAGTATCTTCATACTACATAGTATCTTTATAGTATATCTCTTTATATATATATATATCTCAAGTTACACATGACTTGATTAAGACCAAAGCAGTATCAAAGGTGGTATTCAAAACCAGTGCCCTCCTGATTCCAAGCCTAGTTCTTTCCATCATACTACAATGCCTATTTTCAGAAGTAAAGGACAACATAACTCCAGACACAGAGATGAGATGCTTCCCTTCTCCCAGAAAGACAAAAGAGGGGAGCAACCTCACTACCCATCCCTGTTTAGAATATTGAACAAGAATTTGTAAAGAACTGTCAGGCTGAGAAGATGGATGGTCTTTGGGGAGTGTGACAGGAACCACTTCCCAGGAACAGCGGGAAGCAAAATGGATGACCAGACAGCCCTGCTTCTCCTACCAGAAGAGTTAATGAAGCAGGGAGTCACCCTAATCCTGTGGGTGGGATCTGGGCATCTGGATATTATAAGTGGTACTTGCTGATTGGAATCACAGGAGTCATAATAAACGTGGCTAGTCATCCCAAATGATTGAGCTAGGAAAAATGAAAAGACTGAGGAAGGAAGAGTACAAGAAAGGAAGGAAAGAAGTGAGGGAAGGAGGGAAGGAGAAAGGGAGGGAGGGAAGAAGCAAGAGAGAAAGGAAGGAAGGAA